TGTAAAAACTTCTCATATGCTAACTTTTTCTCCCTTACTACTCTCTTTACATCATCATTCCACCAATCGCTCCTCTTCCCTCCTGCACCCACTTTCCTGTAACCACAAACTTCTGCTGAACACTCTAACACTACATTTTTAAACCTACCCCATTCCTCTTCGACCCCATTGCCTATGCTCTCATTAGCCCATCTATCCTCCAATAGCTGTTTATATCTTACCCTAACTGCCTCCTCTTTTAGTTTATAAACCTTCACCTCTCTCTTCCCTGATGCTTCTATTCTCCTTGTATCCCATCTACCTTTTACTCTCAGTGTAGCTACAACTAGAAAGTGATCTGATATATCTGTGGCCCCTCTATAAACATGTACATCCTGAAGTCTACTCAACAGTCTTTTATCTACTAATACATAATCCAACAAACTACTGTCATTTCGCCCTACATCATATCTTGTATACTTATTTATCCTCTTTTTCTTAAAATATGTATTACCTATAACTAAACCCCTTTCTATACAAAGTTCAATCAAAGGGCTCCCATTATCATTTACACCTGGCACCCCAAACTTACCTACCACACCCTCTCTAAAAGTTTCTCCTACTTTAGCATTCAGGTCCCCTACCACAATTACTCTCTCACTTGGTTCAAAGGCTCCTATACATTCACTTAACATCTCCCAAAATCTCTCTCTCTCCTCTGCATTCCTCTCTTCTGCAGGTGCATACACGCTTATTATGACCCACTTCTCGCATCCAACCTTTACTTTAATCCACATAATTCTCGAATTTACACATTCATATTCTCTTTTCTCCTTCCATAACTGATCATTTAACATTACTGCTACCCCTTCCTTTGCTCTAACTCTCTCAGATACTCCAGATTTAATCCCATTTATTTCCCCCCACTGAAACTCTCCTACCCCCTTCAGCTTTGTTTCGCTTAGAGCCAGGACATCCAACTTCTTTTCATTCATAACATCAGCAATCATCTGTTTCTTGTCATCCGCACTACATCCACGCACATTTAAACAACCCAGTTTTATAAAGTTTTTCTTCTTCTCTTTTTTAGTAAATGTATACAGGAGAAGGGTGTGTGTGTGTGTGTGTGTGTGTGTGTGTGTGTGTGTGTGTGTGTGTGTGTGTGTGTGTGTGTGTGACCTGATGAGAATGGAGGAGAGAATAAGCGATCTTGATGCCCATGATGCTCTGTATCTCCTCACAAGGTGTCTTACTATGCCAATTATTATTATTATAATCAAGGGGAAGCGCTAAACCCGGAGGATTATACAGCGCCTGGGGGGGGATGTGGAAGGCATTCAGGCTTAATTCGGGGAACTGGAGCACAGATCCAATTCCCTAAATCAAGAGCCCCTCACCAACATCAAGGAACCTTCCTTGAGGGGTTACTATGCCAAGACTCGCTCACTTCCTGTGGTGTGCACCCTCTTTTGACAACCCATCACTCGACAAATAGGACACACACCTGAGATCAACCTTTAAGAAGGCACTGAACTTGTCACTAGAGGATCGGCAATGGGAACCCCTCCCAGTGCGACTGGGAGGTATAGGGGTGCGCAAAGCAACGCATGTTGCTTTACCTGCTTTTCTGTCTTCGTGTTTGGGTTCCAGTGTATTAGTCAAGAAGATCGTCCCCGAACGCTTGAGAGACGTGGTAGGAGCTCAAGACCCCAGGTTTACTGAAGCAGCGATGTGGTGAGACACCCTTGCAGACTCCTCCAGTAGACCAGCTCCTCCCAAAGAGCGCAAACAGTCCCTCTGGGACAAACCGATCATGGAAAAAATCGCCAACACAATGCTTACCAACGCTTCAGGAAAGGACAAAGCTCGTCTCCTAGCGGTGAAGGCACCACACTCAGGAGATTTCCTTCTAGCTGTTCCCAATTCCTCCCTGGGCACTCGACTCAACCCACAGATCATTCGGACTGGTGTTGCTCTTCGCCTAGCCGCTCCCATCCTCACCGAATATAGGTGTATTTGCGGCAGGGCGACGGCTGATCAATTCCGACTTCATGGTCTCGTGTGTCACACATCATAAGGGAAGCATGCCAGACATGAGGAGGTCAATGACATCAAAAAGAGAAGCCTCGCCACAGCCCGTTGCCCAGCTCAACGGGAACCCCAAGTGCAGAGGTCTGACAGAAGTCAAAAGCGTCCTGATGGAGCCACTATGATACCCTATACAAGGATGGAAAGCAGATTGCCTGGGACTACACCCCCGCCGCCACATTGGCAGACACCTACTTGCCATACTCCGTAGCTGAAGGGGGTGGAGCTGCCAGCCACAGGGAGACCCAGAAGACCCACAAATATGAAGACCTTCCCCCTTGCTATAACTTCATCCCAATAGGGTCGGAGACTCTTGGAGCATGGGGCAAGTGTGCTCTGAAGTTTCTCAAAGTGTCGGGTGAAAAACTCATCATAGAAAGCAAAGACCACAGGGAGACCAGCTTCCTCTGTCAAAGACCCAGTGTCGCGGTCCAGAGAGGAAATGCCTGCAGCATTCTGGGTACGCGACCCACTGCCGGGAAGCTGGACGAAGTATTCGAGATGTAGCTCTGAGTTATCTATGTTGTTTTACTCCATATTGTATTTTTGTCAATGTATTTTGTCAATGTATCTTGTTTTTCAATAAAGTATATGTAGAATATATAGGGGGTGGTAGAAGAAAATTTTCAAACAGCTTCAGGGATTATTATTATTATAATCAAGGGGGAAGCGCTAAACCCGGAGGATTATACAGCAAACAGCTTCAGGGAGAACCTTGAGTTTTCCCTGAAGCAAGTTTATTCTTTTCTCTGATGATGAGGGTCCCCAGGACAGTTCTAGAGGTGGTACCTCCCTATATTTATATATATATACATATATATATATATATATATATATATATATATATAAATATATATATATATATATATATATATATATATATATATATATTATATATATATAATATATTGTGTGTGTGTGTGTGTGTGTGTGTGTGTGTGTGGGGGTGTGTGTGTGCGAATATGTAAAACTGGTCAATTAGCAAGAACTCATTTAAAATTAAGTCCTTTCTAAAATTTTCTCTTGTACGTTAAAGATATATTTTTTTTCATTAATGTTAATGTAAAAATTTTTAATTTTGCTCCAAAAGAATCTTATAAAACTTACCTAACCTTATTATAACAAGAACAATTTATTTTAGCCTAACCCAACTAAATATATTTTAGATTTGTTTACAATAATTTAATACTAAACAAACAGTGAAATATATTTTTTTGGGTTAGGTTCAGAATAAATTTGACGAAATTATTGCATACACAAATTTTCACTTGTCCTATATGGCAAGATGAGCGTTGTTATTTAAGCCAAGATCGCAAGTTCTGCCTATTCGGCACGACATATTTTATTATATATATATATATATATATATATATATATATATATATATATATATATATATATATATATATATATATAATATACTTGACGTATCAGATATCTGAAGCTGTGTGTGTACGCATATGAAAGCGCTCAGATTTTATTTAATATTTTCACTGCGGTATTTTTTCATATATACAATCACGCGTTTTATTGTGATTTCTTCCATACATACATGAATGTCTATAACAGGGAGAGATTTCAATGTTAGATTGATACAAGTGTTGTATAGGAAGAGTCGAGGAGAGCAAGGTGACGATCTCTTATATTAATATGACACGTCATATTGTATGATGGCGGTGTTAGAGGGTGTGAGGTATAGTCTCTCATATTGTATGATGGTGGTGTTAGAGGATGTGAGGTATACTCTCTCATATTGTATGATGGTGGTGTTAGAGGGTGTGAGGTATACTCTCTCATATTGTATGATGGTGGTGTTAGAGGGTGTGAGGTATACTCTCTCATATTGTATGATGGTGGTGTTAGAGGGTGTGAGGTATACTCTCTAATATACATCATACATGATGCTGGTGTATAACTGTGCAGTATGCTTTCATCAACCAGATCATACATGACGCTGGTGTATGTCGGCATACTCTCGTCATACACATTATACATGATGCTGGCGCATCACAATAGAGTATACTTTCATTATACAGATCATACATGACGCTGGTGTATCACTGAAGTCTAGATCATACGAGGCTTATGTATAATATGGGATATACTTACATCATAGATCATACATCAGGCTGGTGTATAACACTGTGGACAATACTTACATCACAGATCATACATAATGCCGGTGTATAACACTGTGGACAGTACTTACATCACAGATCATACATAATGCCGGTGTATAACACTGTGGACAGTACTTACATCATACAGATCATACATAATGCCGGTGTATAACACTGTGGACAGTACTTACATCACAGATCATACATAATGCCGGTGTATAACACTGTGGACAGTACTTACATCATACAGATCATACATAATGTCGGTGTATAACACTGTGGACAGTACTTACATCATACAGATCATACATAATGCCGGTGTATAACACTGTGGACAGTACTTACATCATACAGATCATACATAATGCCGGTGTATAACACTGTGGACAGTACTTACATCATACAGATCATACATAATACCAGTGTATAACACTGTGGACAGTACTTACATCATACAGATCATACATAATACCGGTGTATAACACTGTGGACAGTACTTACATCATACAGATCATACATAATGCCGGTGTATAACACTGTGGACAGTACTTACATCATACAGATCATACATAATACCAGTGTATAACACTGTGGACAGTACTTACATCATACAGATCATACATAATACCGGTGTATAACACTGTGGACAGTACTTACATCATACAGATCATACATAATACCAGTGTATAACACTGTGGACAGTACTTACATCATACAGATCATACATAATACCAGTGTATAACACTGTGGACAGTACTTACATCATACAGATCATACATAATACCGGTGTATAACACTGTGGACAGTACTTACATCATACAGATCATACATAATGCCGGTGTATGACATGGGTGTCAGGAGGATACCGTCACTACAGGTGTTGGTTCATCAACTTCATAACTCAACACAAAGGTCACTACAGGTGTTGGCTCCACAAGGTCACTACAGGTGTTGGTTCATCACCCTCACAATTCCACACAAGGTCACTACAGGTGTTGACTCCACAAGGTCACTACAGGTGTTGGTTCATCACCCTCACAATTCCACACAAGGTCACTACAGGTGTTGGCTCCACAAGGTCACTACAGGTGTTGGCTCCACAAGGTCACTACAGGTGTTGGCTCCACAAGGTCACTACAGGTGTTGGCTCCACAATATTCTACTCTCACTTCACTAAAATCTCTCTTGTTCCAATATATTCGTTATTTATCACAATTTTTCAGAATATATATATAAATCTTCAGTCACTAAATATTTTTTTCTGACTTTTTCGGCTATAACAAAACAACAAAAAATAAACTGTCCTTGTGGACAAAAACTGAACACTTTTGACAAGATCACTTTTGACAAGATCACTTTTGACAAGATCACTTTTGACAAGATCACTTTTGACAAGATCAATTTTGACAAGATCACTTTTGACAAGATCACTTTTGACAAGATCACTTTTGACAAGATCACTTTTGACAAGATCACTTTTGACAAGATCACTTTTGACAAGATCACTTTTGACAAGATCACTTTTGACAAGATCACTTTTGACAAGATCACTTTTGACAAGATCACTTTTGACAAGATCACTTTTGACAAGATCACTTTTGACAAGATCACTTTTGACAAGATCACTTTTGACAAGATCACTTTTGACAAGATCACTTTTGACAAGATCACTTTTGACAAGATCACTTTTGACAAGATCACTTTTGACAAGATCACTTTTGACAAGATCACTTTTGACAAGATCAATTTTGACAAGATCAATTTTGACAAGATCACTTTTGACAAGATCACTTTTGACAAGATCACTTTTGACAAGATCAATTTTGACAAGATCACTTTTGACAAGATCACTTTTGACAAGATCACTTTTGACAAGATCAATTTTGACAAGATCAATTTTGACAAGATCAATTTTGACAAGATCACTTTTGACAAGATCACTTTTGACAAGATCACTTTTGACAAGATCAATTTTGACAAGATCACTTTTGACAAGATCACTTTTGACAAGATCACTTTTGACAAGATCACTTTTGACAAGATCACTTTTGACAAGATCACTTTTGACAAGATCACTTTTGACAAGATCACTTTTGACAAGATCACTTTTGACAAGATCAATTTTGACAAGATCACTTTTGACAAGATCACTTTTGACAAGATCACTTTTGACAAGATCACTTTTGACAAGATCACTTTTGACAAGATCAATTTTGACAAGATCACTTTTGACAAGATCACTTTTGACAAGATCACTTTTGACAAGATCAATTTTGTGTTTAATGGTTGCAAACTTCAGTCCCGGTGGTTCGGGGCCCTGCACCATTTCCGGTTTTCGGGATGACCCCCCAGGGGGTTTTGTGCTATGCAAGGTATCATAATGGTGTTTATGATGTACTACAAAACAAATAGTCTGATTTTATAATGTCATCCAAAAAACCCCGGGGGAGTATCAGGCACAGGGACGGGTGAAACCCCTTTCCCTTTTTGTGTGTTTGTGTGTGGGGGTGTGTGTGTTGTTTTGTGTTTTGTTTTTTTGTGTGTGTTTTGTGTGGTGTGTTTGTTTGTGTGTTTTGTTTTTTTTTGTTTGGTTTTTGTGTGCTTTTTGTATGTGGTGTTGTGTGTTTTGTGTGTGTGTGTTTTGGGGTGGGTTTTTTTTGTGTGTTGTGTGTTTTGTGTGTGGTGTGGTGTGTTGGGGGTGTGTGTTTGTGTGTGTTTGTGTGTGTTTTTGTGTTTGTGTGTGTGTGTTGTTTGTGTGTTTGTGTGTGTGTGTGTGTTTGTGTGTGTTTTTTGTGTGTTTGTGTGTGCTTGTTGTATGTGTGTTTTTGTGTGTGTTGTGTGTGGTTTTTGTGTGTTTGTGTGTGCTTTTTGTAAAGTTTTTTGTTGGGGTGTTTTTGTGTGTGTTTGGGGTGTGTTTTGTGTTGCTTTTTTTGTATTGTGTGTGTGTGTGTGTGTGTGTGTGTTTGTGTGTGTGTGTGTGTGTGTGTTTTTTGTGTGTGTTGTGTGTGTGTGTGTGTGTGTTTGGTGTGTGTGTGGTGTTTGGTTTGTTTTGTTTTTTGTGTGTGGTGTGTGTTTTGTGGTTTTGTGTGTGTGTGTGTGTTGTTTGTGTGTGTGTGTTTGTGTGTGTGTGTGTGTGTGTGGGGTTTTGTGTTTGGGTTTTGTGTGTGTGTTGTGTGTGTTTGGGGTGGTGTGTTTTTGTGTGTGTGGGGGTGTGTGGTGTGTTTGGTGTTTGTGTTTGGGGTTTTTGTGTGGTTTTTGTGTGTTGTTGTAATGTGTTTTTTTGTGTGTTGTGTGGGTTTTTGGGTGTGTGTTTGTGTGTGTTTTGTGTTTTTGTTTGTGGGGTTGTGTGGTGTTTTTTGTGTGTGTGTGGGTTGTGGGGTGTGTGTGTGTTGTGGGTTTTGTGTGTGTGGGGTGTGTGTTTTTGTGTTTGTGTGTGTTTGGTGGGGTTGTATGGTGTGTTTTTTGTGTGTTGTGTGTGTGTTTGTGTGGGGTTTTTTTGGGGTTTGTGTGTTTGTGGTGTGTTGGGGTTTTTGTGTTTGTGTGTGTGTGTGTGTTGTGTGTGTTGTGTTGTGTGGGGTGTGTTGCGTGTTGTGTGTGTGTGTGTGTGTTTTGTGTGTGTGTTGGTGTGTGTGTGGTGCGTGTGTTGTGCGTGTGTGTGTGCGTGTGTGTGTGCGTGTGTGTGCGTGTGTGTGCGTGTGTGTGCGTGTGTGTGTGTGTGTGCGTGTGTGTGTGTGTGTGTGATGTGTGTGTGTAATTCAGCCTACAGTCAGCCAGCCAGCCAACTAGCTCATAAGTCAGCCAGCCAGCCAACTAGCTCATAAGTCAGCCAGCCAGCCAACTAGCCCATCAGTCAGCCAGCCAGCCAACCAGCCTATCAGTCAGTCAGCCAGCCAGCCAGCCAGCCAGCCAGCCAGCCAGCCAGCCAGCCAGCCTATCAGTCAGTCAGTCAGTCAGCCAGACAGTCAGCCAGCCAGTCAGTCAATCAGTCAGTCAGTCAGTCAGTCAGTCAGCCAGCCAGCCAGCCAGCCAGCCAATCAGGCAGTCAGTCAGTCAGCCAACCAGCCTATAAGTCAGCCAACCAACCAGCCAGCCAAACAACCAGCCAGCTAACCACCTAGCCAACCAGTCAGCTAGCCATCCAGTCAGCCAGCCAGCCAACCAACCAGCCAGCCAACCAGCTAGCCAGGCAGCTAGCCAGGCAGCTAGCCAGGCAGCAAAGCAGTCAGCCAGCCAGCTAGCCAGGCAGTCAACCAGCCAGCCAGCTAGTTAGTCAGGCAGCCAAGCAGCCAGCCAGCCAGCCAGTTAGCCAAACAGCCAGCCAGCCAGCCTATCAGTCAGCCAGCTAGTCAGTCAGCAAAGAGAGCTAGCCACATAAAAGTCAAGCAAGCAAGCAGTCAATTAGCCAGGCAACCTTCAACAGTGTACTAAACAGCTTCATAACTACTGTCCACACATTGGACAGTAGGGAGGGAGGGAGGGGAGGGGAGGGGGAGGGGAGGGAGGGGGGGGAGGGAGGAGGGAGGGGAGGGGAGGGAAGGGGAGGGGAGGGGAGGGGATGGGAGGAGGGGAGGGGAGGAGGGAGGGGAGGGGAGGGGAGTGGGAGGGGAGGGAGGAAGGCAAGGAGACTCAAGGTAGGGTCGACTGGAGAGGCAAGTTATGGGAGATAAAAGTGGATGGAAAATAGATGGAGTAGAGAAGTTATAGAAGAGTACGGAGGAGGGAAGGAAGGGGGGGAGAGAAATAGAACTGAGAGAGGGAAGGAGGGAGAGAAATAGAACTGAGAGAGGAAGGAGGGAGAGAAATAGAACTGAGAGAGGGAAGGAGGGAGAGAAATAGAACTGAGAGAGGGAAGGAGGGAGAGAAATAGAACTGAGAGAGGGAAGGAGGGAGAGAAATAGAACTGAGAGAGGAAAGGAGGGAGAGAAATAGAACTGAGAGGGGGAAGGAGGGAGAGAAATAGAGCTGAGAGAGGGAAGGAGGGAGAGAAATAGAGCTGAGAGGGGGAAGGAGGGAGAGAAATAGAGCTGAGAGAGGGAAGGAGGGAGAGAAATAGAGCTGAGAGAGGGAAGGAGGGAGAGAAATAGAGCTGAGAGAGGGAAGGAGGGAGAGAAATAGAGCTGAGAGAGGGAAGGAGGGAGAGAAATAGAGCTGAGAGGGGAAGGAGGGAGAGAAATAGAACTGAGAGAGGGAAGGAGGGAGAGAAATAGAACTGAGAGAGGGAAGGAGGGAGAGAAATAGAACTGAGAGAGGGAAGGAGGGAGAGAAATAGAACTGAGAGAGGGAAGGAGGGAGAGAAATAGAACTGAGAGAGGGAAGGAGGGAGAGAAATAGAACTGAGAGAGGAAAGGAGGGAGAGAAATAGAGCTGAGAGGGGGAAGGAGGGAGAGAAATAGAGCTGAGAGAGGGAAGGAGGGAGAGAAATAGAGCTGAGAGAGGAAGGAGGGAGAGAAATAGAGCTGAGAGAGGGAAGGAGGGAGAGAAATAGAGCTGAGAGAGGGAAGGAGGGAGAGAAATAGAGCTGAGAGAGGGAAGGAGGGAGAGAAATAGAGCTGAGAGAGGGAAGGAGGGAGAGAAAATAGAGCTGAGAGGGGAAGGAGGGAGAGAAATAGAACTGAGAGAGGGAAGGAGGGAGAGAAATAGAGCTGAGAGAGGGAAGGAGGGAGAGAAATAGAGCTGAGAGAGGGAAGGAGGGAGAGAAATCGAACTGAGGGAGGGAAGGAGGGAGAGAAATCGAACTGAGGGAGGGAAGGAGGGAGAGAAATAGAGCTGAGAGAGGAAAAGAGGGAGAGAAATAGAACTGAGGGAGGGAAGGAGGGAGAGAAATAGAGCTGAGAGAGGGAAGGGGGGAGAGAAATAGAGCGAGAGAGGGAAGGAGGGAGAGAAATCGAACTGAGGGAGGGAAGGAGGGAGAGAAATCGAACTGAGGGAGGGAAGGAGGGAGAGAAATAGAGCTGAGAGAGGAAAAGAGGGAGAGAAATAGAACTGAGGGAGGGAAGGAGGGAGAGAAATAGAGCTGAGAGAGGGAAAAGGAGGGAGAGAAAATAGAGCTGAGAGAGGAAAAGGGGGAGAGAAATAGAACTGAGGGAGGGAAGGAGGGAGAGAAATAGAGCTGAGAGAGGGAAGGAGGGAGAGAAATAGAGCTGAGAGAGGAAAAGAGGGAGAGAAATAGAACTGAGAGAGGGAAGGAGGGAGAGAAATAGAACTGAGGGAGGGAAGGAGGGAGAGAAATAGAACTGAGGGAGGGAAGGAGGGAGAGAAATAGAGCTGAGGGAGGGAAGGAGGGAGAGAAATAGAACTGAGGGAGGGAAGGAGGGAGGGGAAATAGAACTGAGGGAGGGAAGGAGGGAGAGAAATAAAACTGGGGGAGGGAAGGAGGGAGAGAAATAGAACTGAGGGAGGGAAGGAGGGAGAGAAATAGAGCTGAGGGAGGAAAAGAGGGAGAGAAATAGAACTGAGAGAGGAAGGAGGGAGAGAAATAGAACTGAGGGAGGGAAGGAGGGAGAGAAATAGAAACTGAGGGAGGGAAGGAGGGAGAGAAATAGAGCTGAGGGAGGGAAGGAGGGAGAGAATAGAACTGAGGGAGGGAAGGAGGGAGAGAAATAGAACTGAGGGAGGGAAGGAGGGAGAGAAATAAAACTGAGGGAGGGAAGGAGGGAGAGAAATAGAAACTGAGGGAGGGAAGGAGGGAGAGAATAGAGCTGAGGGAGGGAAGGAGGGAGAGAAATAGAACTGAGGGAGGGAAGGAGGGAGAGAAATAGAACTGAGGGAGGGAAGGAGGGAGAGAAATAGAACTGAGGGAGGGAAGGAGGGAGAGAAATAGAGCTGAGGGAGGAAGGAGGGAGAGAAATAGAACTGAGGGAGGGAAGGAGGGAGAGAAATAGAACTGAGGGAGGAAGGAGTGAGAGAATAGAACTGAGGGAGGAAAGGAGGGAGAGAAATAGAACTGAGGGAGGGAAGGAGGGAGAGAAATAAACTGAGGGAGGGAGGAGTGAGAGAAATAGAACTGAGGGAGGGAAGGAGGGAGAGAAATAGAACTGAGGGAGGGACGGAGGGAGAGAAATAGAACTGAGGAGGGAAGGAGTGAGAGAAATAGAACTGAGGGAGGAAAGGAGGGAGAGAAATAGAACTGAGGGAGGGAAGGAGGGAGAGAAATAGAGCTGAGGGAGGGAAGGAGGGAGAGAAATAGAGCTGAGGGAGGGAAGGAGGGAGAGAAATAGAACTGTGACAACTGGACACATCACCTGCGAGGTACAGTGACAACTGGACACATCACCTGGGAGTTACAGTGACAACTGGACACATCCCCTGCGAGGTACAGTGACCAACTGGACACATCACCTGGGAGTTACAGTGACAACTGGACACATCACCTGCGAGGTACAGTGACAACTGGACACATCACCTGGGAGTTACAGTGACAACTGGACACATCACCTGGGAGTTACAGTGACAACTGGACACATCACCTGGGAGTTACAGTGACAACTGGACACATCACCTGGGAGTTAGTGACAACTGGACACATCACCTGGGAGTTACAGTGACAACTAGACACATCACCTGAGAGTTACAGTGACAACTGGACACATCACCTGGGAGTTACAGTGGCAACTAGACACATCACCTGGGATTTAGTGACAACTGGACACATCACCTGATAGTTACAGTGACAACTGGACACATCACCTGAGAGAGTGACAACTGGACACATCACCTGAGAGTTACAGTGACAACTGGACACATCACCTGAGAGTTACAGTGACAACTGGACACATCACCTGAGAGTTAGAGTGACAACTGGACACATCACCTGAGAGTTACAGTGACAACTGGACACATCACCTCAGAGTTACAGTGACAACTGGACACATCACCTGAGAGTTACAGTGACAACTGGACACATCACCTGGGAGGAACAGTGACAACTGGACATATCACCTGGGAGTTACAGTGACAACTGGACACATCACCTGGGAGTTACAGTGACAACTGGACACATCACCTGGGAGTTACAGTGACAACTGGACACATCACCTGGGAGTTACAGTGACAACTGGACACATCACCTGGGAGTTAGTGACAACTGGACACATCACCTGGGAGTTACAGTGACAACTGGACACATCACCTGGGAGTTACAGTGACAACTGGACACATCACCTGGGAGTTAGTGACAACTGGACACATCACCTGGGAGTTACAGTGACAACTGGACACATCACCTGGGAGTTACAGTGACAACTAGACACATCACCTGGGATTTAGTGACAACTGGACACATCACCTGAGAGTTACAGTGACAACTGGACACATCACCTGAGAGAGTGACAACTGGACACATCACCTGAGAGTTACAGTGACAACTGGACACATCATCTGAGAGTTACAGTGACAACTGGACACATCACCTGAGAGTTACAGTGACAACTGGACACATCATCTGAGAGTTACAGTGACAACTGGACACATCACCTGAGAGTTACAGTGACAACTGGACACATCATCTGAGAGTTACAGTGACAACTGGACACATCACCTGAGAGTTACAGTGACAACTGGACACATCACCTGAGAGTTACAGTGACAACTGGACACATCACCTGGGAGTTACAGTGACAACTGGACACATCACCTGGGAGTTACAGTGACAACTGGACACATCACCTGAGAGTTACAGTGACAACTGGACACATCACCTGAGAGTTAGAGTGACAACTGGACACATCACCTGAGAGTTACAGTGACAACTGGACATCACCTGAGAGTTACAGTGACAACTGGACACATCACCTGAGAGTTACAGTGACAACTGGACATCACCTGAGAGTTACAGTGGGACACATAACCTGGGAGTTACAGTGACAACTGGACACATCACCTGAGAGTTACAGTGACAACTGGACATCACCTGAGAGTTACAGTGACAACTGGACACATCACCTGAGAGTTACAGTGACAACTGGACATCACCTGAGAGTTACAGTGGGACACATAACCTGGGAGTTACAGTGACAACTGGACACATCACCTGAGAGTTACAGTGGGACACATAACCTGGGAGTTACAGTGACAACTGGACATCACCTGAGAGTTACAGTGGGACACATAACCTGGGAGTTACAGTGACAACTGGACACATCACCTGAGAGTTAGAGTGACAACTGGACACATCACCTGAGAGTTACAGTGACAACTGGACATCACCTGAGAGTTACAGTGACAACTGGACACATCACCTGAGAGTTACAGTGACAACTGGACACATCACCTGAGAGTTACAGTGGCAACTGGACATATCAACTGCGAGGTACAGTGACAACTGGACACATCACCTGGGAGTTGCAGTGACAACTGGATACATCACCTGAGAGTTAGAGTGATAACTGGACACATCACCCGGGAGTTACAGTGACAACTGGACACATCAACTGAGAGGTACAGTGACAACTGGACACATCACCTGAGAGTTACAGTGACAACTGGACACAATACACTGCTGTAAGGTATGTTGGACACACTCGTCACACTATTAAAGAAGAACAATCACTGCCGGCAGGTTCACGCACCCACCTCAACACACTTTCTTTTTTCTCAACTTAAACAAGAGTTACAGTCACTGGCTCAATGTTGCAAGTTAAGACTTGTTGTAAAGACAAGCCATAGAGGCAGTGTCGGTCTTGTGGCGCTGAAGGTGGCACCATGCACGAGGTAGTGCCAGGGAGGGAGTGGGGTGCACGAGCTACCCTGATGAGAGTCCCAGGGCCATAGGCACCACCAGCCTGGCTCTCTTACCAAGACAGAGTGAGTGTCAGGCGCCAGACCTCAAGCAAGTTGCAGACATGGCACCCCGAGTGTCTCAGGTGGCGGACGTACAACCTGCTGCCACTAAGGTAGTGCCATTACACCCGGGTGCACTACACCTGCCGTGCCGCTGTTCACGCCACTACCCCCACAGCCATCCTTGCTTTCTCTTAAAGAAAAATGAATGTCAGCGCCAAAGTTGGAGAGGTAAGTGAGATCTAGTGAAGTACAAATGCAACGGCCGCTGATGTCTATTAAAGAGAGATAGGCAGCTCCAGATTACTATATTGCTCAGGGAAGGGTTCTCGCTGATGAGTGGCAGAGAGACGACATGTGCAGGAGGGACAGGGAAGGTGATGGGAGTAGAGTGAGGGATGTGTTGGAGTGGGGAGGTACAGTTAGGAAGAGAGAGGGCAGGAAGGGCAATTTAGGAAGAGATAGCAGGGAAGGGAAGTGGCAGTTAGGAAGAGATGGAGGGAGGGAAGGGAAGTTAGGAAGAGTGAGAGGGGAGGAAGGGCAGTTAGGAAGAGATGAGTGGGGATGGAAGGGCAAGTTAGTAAGGATGAAAAGGGGAGGGAGGGCAAGTTAGAAAGAGTTTGAGAGGGGGGGGAGGGCAAGTTGAAGAGATGAGAGGGGAGGGAAGGGCAAGTTGGAAGTGGAGGGGAGGAAGAGCAAGTTAGGAGAGTTTGAGAGTGAAGGGAAGGGCAAGTTAGGAAGAGATGAGAGGGGAGGGAAGGGCAAGTTAGGAAGAGATGAGAGGGGAGGGAAGGGCAAGTTAGGAAGAGATGAGAGGGGAAGGGAAGGGCAAGTTAGGAAGAGATGAGAGGGGAAGGGAAGGGCAAGTTAGGAAGAGATGAGAGGGAAGGGAAGGGCAAGTTAGGAAGAGATGAGAGGGAAAGGGGAAGGGCAAGTTAGGAAGAGATGAGAGAGGGGAGGGAAGGGCAAGTTAGGAAGAGATGAGAGGGGAGGGAAGGGCAAGTTAGGAAGAGATGAGGGGGGAAGGGAAGGGCAAGTTAGGAAGGATGAGAGGGGAGGGAAGGGCAAGTTAGGAAGGGGTGAGAGGGGGAAGGAAGGGCAAGTTAGGAAGAGATGAGAGGGGAGGGAAGGGCAAGTTAGGAAGAGATGAGAGGGGAGGGAAGGGCAAGTTAGGAAGAGATGAGAGGGAAGGGAAGGGCAAGTTAGGAAAGGGGTGGAGGGGAGGGAAGGGCAAGTTAGGGAAGGGGTGAGGAGGGGAGGGAAGGGCAAGTTAGGAAGAGATGAGAGGGGAGGGAAGGGCAAGTTAGTAAGAGATGAGAGGGGAGGGAAGGGCAAGTTAGGAAGAGATGAGAGGGAAGGGAAGGGCAAGTTAGGAAGGGGTGGAGAGGGAAGGGAAGGGCAAGTTAGGAAGAGATGGAGGGAAGGGAAGGGCAAGTTAGGAAGAGATGAGGGGGGGAGGGAAGGGCAAGTTAGTAAGAGATGAGAGGGGAAGGGAAGGGCAAGTTAGGAAGAGATGAGAGGGGAGGGAAGGGGCAAGTTAGGAAGGATGAGAGGGAAGGGAAGGGCAAGTTAGGAGAGAGGGGGGGAAGAGGGGAAAAGGAGAAGGGGCAAGTTAGGAAGGGGTGGAGGAGGGGAGGGAAGGGCAAGTTAGGAAGGGAGTGGAAGAGGAGAAGGGAAGGGCAAGTTAGGAAGGAGATGAGAGGGGAGGAAGGGCAAGTTAGGAAGAGATGAGAGGGAAGGGAAGGGCAAGTTAGGAAGGGGTGAGAGGGAAGGGAAGGGCAGTTAGGAAGGGGTGAGAGGGAAGGGAAGGGCAAGTTAGGAAGGGGTGAGGGGGGAGGGAAGGGCAAGTTAGGAAGAGATGAGAGGGGAGGGAAGGGCAAGTTAGGAAGGGGTGAGAGGGAAGGGAAGGGCAAGTTAGGAAGGGGTGAGAGGGGAAAGGGAAGGGCAAGTTAGGAAGGGTGAGAGGAGGGAAGGGAAGGGAAAGGGAGGCAAGTTAGGAAGGGGTGAGAGGGAAGGGAAGGGCAAGTTAGGAAGGGGTGAGAGGGAGGGAAGGGCAAGTTAGGAAGGGGTGAGAGGGGAGGGAGGGCAAGTTAGAAGGGGTGAGAGGGGAGGGAAGGGCAAGTTAGGAAGGGGTGAGAGGGGAGGGAAGGGCAAGTTAGGAAGGGGTGAGGGGGGAGGGAGGGCAAGTTAGGAAGGGTGAGAGGGAAGGGAAGGGCAAGTTAGGAAGGGGTGAGAGGGGAGGGAAGGGCAAGTTGGGAAAAGGGGTGAGAGGGGAGGGAAGGGCAAGTTAGGAAGGATGAGAGGGAAGGGAAGGGCAAGTTAGGAAGGGGTGAGAGGGAAGGGAAGGGCAAGTTAGGAAGGGGTAGAGGGAAGGGAAGGGCAAGTTAGGAAGGGGTGAGAGGGGAGGGAAGGGCAAGTTAGGAAGGGGTGAGAGGGAAGGGAAGGGCAAGTTAGGAAGGGGTCAGAGGGAAGGGAAGGGCAAGTTAGGAAGGGGTGAGAGGGAGGGAAGGGCAAGTTAGGAAGGGGTGAGAGGGAAGGGAAGGGCAAGTTGGGAAAGGGGGGTGAGAGGGGAGGGAAGGGCAAGTTAGGAAGGGGTGAGAGGGAGGGAAGGGCAAGTTAGGAAGAGATGAGAGGGAAGGGAAGGGCAAGTTAGGAAGGGGTGAGAGGGGAGGGAAGGGCAAGTTAGGAAGGGGTGAGAGGGGAGGGAAGGGCAAGTTAGGAAGGGTGAGAGGGAAGGGAAGGGCAAGTTAGGAAGGGGTGAGAGGGAGGGAAGTGCAAGTTAGGAAGAGATGAGAGGGAAGGGAAGGGCAAGTTAGGAAGGGGTGAGAGGGAAGGGAAGGGCAAGTTAGGAAGGGGTGAGAGGGGAGGGAAGGCAAGTTAGGAAGGGGTGAGAGGGAAGGTAAGGGCAAGTTAGGAAGGGGTGAGAGGGAAGGGAAGGGCAAGTTAGGAAGGGGTGAGAGGGAAGGGAAGGGCAAGTTAGGAAGAGTGAGAGGGAAGGGAAGGGCAAGTTAGGAAGGGGTGAGAGGGAAGGGAAGGGCAAGTTAGGAAGGGGTGAGAGGGAAGGGAAGGGCAAGTTAGGAAGAGATGAGAGGGAAGGGAAGGGCAAGTTAGGAAGGGGTGAGAGGGAAGGGAAGGGCAAGTTAGGAAGAGATGAGGGGGAAGGGAAGGGCAAGTTAGGAAGGGGGAGAGGGAAGGGAAGGGCAAGTTAGGAAAGGGGAGGGGTGGAGGAGTAGAAGAGAGGAAGGGAAGGGCAAGTTAGGAAGGGGTGAGAGGGAAGGGAAGGGCAAGTTAGGAAGGTGAGAGGGAAGGGAAGGGCAAGTTAGGAAGGGGTGAGAGGGAAGGGAAGGGCAAGTTAGGAAGAGTGAGAGGGAAGGGAAGGGCAAGTTAGGAAGGGGTGAGAGGGAGGGAAGGGCAAGTTAGGAAGGGGTGAGAGGGAAGGAGGAAGAGGAAGGGGTGAGGGAAGAAGGCAAGTAGGAAGGGGTGAGAGGGAAGGGAAGGGCAAGTTAGGAAGGGGGTGAGAGGGAAGGGAAGGCAAGTTAGGAAGGGGTGAGAGGGAAGGGAAGGGCAAGTTAGGAAGGGGTGAGAGGGAAGGGAAGGGCAAGTTAGGAAGGGGTGAGAGGGAAGGGAAGGGCAAGTTAGGAAGGGGTGAGAGGGAAGGGAAGGGCAAGTTAGGAAGGGGTGAGAGGGAAGGGAAGGGCAAGTTAGGAAGGGGTGAGAGGGAAAGGGGAAAAGGGCAAGTTAGGAAGGGGTGAGAGGGAAGGGAAGGACAAGTTAGGAAGGGGTGAGAGGGAAGGGAAGGGCAAGTTAGGAAGGGGTGAGAGGGAAGGGAAGGACAAGTTAGGAAGGGGTGAGAGGGAAGGGAAGGACAAGTTAGGAAGGGGTGAGAGGGAAGGGAAGGACAAGTTAGGAAGGGGTGAGAGGGAAGGGAAGGACAAGTTAGGAAGGGGTGAGAGGGAAGGGAAGGGCAAGTTAGGAAGGGGTGAGAGGGAAGGGAAGGGCAAGTTAGGAAGGGGTGAGAGGGAAGGGAAGGACAAGTTAGGAAGGGGTGAGAGGGAAGGGAAGGACAAGTTAGGAAGGGGTGAGGGGGAAGGGAAGGACAAGTTAGGAAGGGGTGAGAGGGAAGGGAAGGACAAGTTAGGAAGGGGTGGAGAGGGAAGGGAAGGACAAGTTAGGAAGGGGTGAGAGGGAAGGGAAGGACAAGTTAGGAAGGGGTGAGAGGGAAGGGAAGGACAAGTTAGGAAGGGGTTTGAGAGGGAAGGGAAGGACAAGTTAGGAGGGTGAGAGGGAAGGGAAGGACAAGTTAGGAAGGGGTGAGAGGGAAGGAAGGACAAGTTAGGAAGGGGTGAGAGGGAAGGGAAGGACAAGTTAGGAAGGGGTGAGAGGGAAGGGAAGGACAAGTTAGGAAGGGGTTGAGAGGGAAGGGAAGGACAAGTTAGGAAGGGTGAGAGGGAAGGGAAGGACAAGTTAGGAAGGGGTGAGAGGGAAGGGAAGGACAAGTTAGGAAGGGGTGAGAGGGAAGGGAAGAACAAGTTAGGAAGGGTGAGAGGGAAGGGAAGGGCAAGTTAGGAAGGGGTGAGAGGGAAGGGAAGAACAAGTTAGGAAGGGGTGGAGGGAAGGGAAGGGCAAGTTAGGAAGGGGTGAGAGGGAAGGGAAGGACAAGTTAGGAAGGGGTGAGAGGGAAGGGAAGGACAAGTTAGGAAGGGGTGAGAGGGAAGGGAAGGACAAGTTAGGAAGGGGTGAGAGGGAAGGGAAGGACAAGTTAGGAAGGGGTGAGAGGGAAGGGAAGGACAAGTTAGGAAGGGGTGAGAGGGAAGGGAAGGGACAAGTTAGGAAGGGGTGAGAGGGAAGGGAAGGACAAGTTAGGAAGGGGTGAGAGGGAAGGGAAGGACAAGTTAGGAAGGGGTGAGAGGGAAGGGAAGACAGTTAGGAAGGGGTGAGAGGGAAGGGAAGGGCAAGTTAGGAAGGGGTGAGAGGGAAGGGAAGACAAGTTAGGAAGGGTGAGAGGGAAGGAGTTTTCTCAACATATAAGGTCTATATCCTATATGTATTATAGTTCTAATTATTAATAACAATTATTATTGGTAGTAGTTATTTCTATTATATTATTATTGTTGTAATATTATTATATTATTATTATTATTATAAATTATTATAGTAGTTATTATTATTATATTATTATTGTAGTAGTAGTAGTAATAGTAATAGTAGTAGTAGTAGTATATAGTAGTATA